GCCCTGCCCTCAGCAGCCAGCCCCTCCCCTCACCGGCCAGGCCCCGCCCCCATGGGATAGCTCTGCCCGTCTTTCACCCAAGGTCTGGTCCCTACTTCCCAGTTAGCCTCGCCAGTGTGACCAAATGGGACCTGAACTTGGCTAGCCTCAAGGACATAGCCTGCCATCCGCCTGTGTAGAAGGTTAGGGTCCCCCTAGCTGGGCCAGCCCCGGCTACCTGACCTGTGCCTCCCTGCCCTCCTCCAGGGTGACGTCTCCCATGCTGCTGGTGGCCCTGGCTGTCTTCTTTGGCTCCTGTTACATCCTCTATCTGCGCACATTGCAGTCCAAGCTTGTGCTCTTTGGTGAGAAACCCCCTGTGCAGATGGATCCCTGAACCCTCAAATCTTGGTCTTTTGGACAAAAGCCTTAGACCCCAAACCCAAGTCTACCCATGTCTAGATATACACCAGATCCCCCAAACCTTATCCCTTAAAATCTCAGACTCACCAGATGTTCCCACCTAGTCTCAGCTGCCCGCATTTCTGTTCCCCAAACCTAGAATGAAATACCCGGGAACCCACTCTCTACTTAGTTCCTGTCCATTAAACCTATTCCTCCCCTTACCCTCCTCCCTAACCTCTTTGGGGAAAGCATCAGTTGCAGATACCCACACGGGACACCAGGTGGCGACCTTACTCTGCCTTGGATCTGTCCCCATCCCTGTCTTGTTTCCTGGGGTGGGATCAGAAGGTTCTTGGGACTTCCCAGAGAGGGAAGCTGAGGCCCTGTGGCTCATGTGGTCCCAGACTGACACCAAGCACTACTGGGAAGAAAGAGGCCCCTAAGTCCCCACCCAGGGGATGCTCAAGGTTTGGAGTGGGGACAGGGAGGAGTTGGGATCAGATAAGTAGGTAGTCTTTCAAGGGCCTGCAAGTTATGCACATGACAAAGGTGACCTGGTGGGGAGGCATGGTGGGCAAGCACAGGGCGTGGAGGGAGTGCCTGGAGCACAGCCACAACCTGGTTTCAGCCGCTGCCGCCCCAGGGGCCTGCACACCTGTTCTTCCACTCTGCCACAGGAGACAAGAAATCTGTACTGTTCCATGAAATCATTTGGTTTCTCTGTCAGCCTTAAGTAAAATTCTTGGGGAACGTTGTGCAGACTCAAAAAACATATTTGCAGGTCAGACTTAGCCCTTGGGCCACCAGTTTGAGACTCCTAGTCTACAGGAGAGCAGGTTGGAACAGGAGAGACCTAGTCTGGGGGAGTGGGGGGAGCTGGGAGCTTCCTAGAGGAAGTGGGTTAAAGGCAGGGGGAGGGGCTGAGGAAGGTGTGCTGTATTCTGGCAGACAGTGAGGATACTGGAGAAATGGGTGGGGCCTAGACTGGAGGGCCTAGCGTGAGGAGTTTGGGTGATCCTGAGGCTCCCAGAGCTTGTGACACCAGACTGTTGGGGGCATCCAGGGTTACCCTGGGAGAGGGCACGCATTTCTGAACAGCTGCCCCAATGTCACCTGCCCCCCAGGCCGAGAGGTGAGCCCCGCCCATCAGTATGCCATGGCTGGTGCTGTCTCCTTCCCCTTCTTCTGGTTGGCTGGTGCAGGCTCTGCTGTCTTCTGGGTTCTGGGTGAGTACAGGGTCTGGGTAGTCGGGGTGGGTGGTGGGGGCCAGGTGAGGGAGCAAGGCCCTCGACTGTCCATTTTCCTGCAGGAGCCACCCTCGTGGTCATTGGCTCCCATGCCGCCTTCCACCAGATCGAGGCCATGGACAGGGATGAGCTACAGATGGAGCCAGTGTGAGGTGTCTGCCAGCCTCCAGAGCCAGCTGCCCCATCCCTGTCCTGCATGACTCTCCAGCCAAAGGCCCCCTTCCCATCATAAGCCCAGGGAACCAGCTTTGGAAATAAAGCTGTTGTAGTCATCATTCAGCACATATCATACTCTCCCAGGATCTTTTGTGGGTCTGTATGGGCTGATGCTGGGATACTACGGAGACCGAGGCAGAGGGGGGCCCTGCGGTGGGGGGAAGACAATAAGATAAATAATTAGAATATGAGAGCATCGCCAATGGTGGTAAGTGCAAGGAAGAGAAAAGAATTGGGAAGGGAGACCATGCTAGGAGGACTCGATGCACAGCTGGACTCACAGCTGCGATTTATTGTCAAATGATACAAAGCTAAGTCAGCAAAGGATAAAGGCACATGGGGCGAAGTCAAGAGGAAACCAGGCACAAGTGTCCCAGAGTCCTCCCAGGGAAGTCACACAGGACATGCTTGCTTCTTCCAGCTGTGAATTGTGACAACACGTGTGAACTGCCTGCCAGAGAAGCTCCTTAGGGTCTCAGTACCCCGGCTTTCTGTTGGGGGCTGGCCACATAAGTACCCTCTGTCCAACAGGGACCAGAATTCTAGACTCTCAGGAAGACGGGGAGTTCCGAATGAACAAAACCATTCGCACAAACAGTTTAGCTATGCGAGCCACTCTTACCAGAGCATGGTGGGAACTGTCCTGAAATGCAAGTCCCCAGATGCCAGCCAAGGCCAACTACACAGGCAGGCCTCGGGACACCTCTCAGTCCTGCTATGTTAACTGCATAGAGAAAGTTCTGGAGATGAGTTACAGTTTAAAGAAGGCCTCGCTGGGCTGACATTGAGTCAGGGAGCACCTGCAAGCCCTTGGGAGGAAGAATGTTCTGGGCAGAGGGAGCAGTGTGGGCGCAGTGTGTTTCTGGAGGTTTGAGGAATGGTGAGGAGGCCGGTGTGGCCAGAGTAGATGAGCTGGGAAAAGTGGGAGACTTGCAGGCTTCAGTGTGGGCTCCAGTTTTACTCTGAGTGAGGTGAAAGGGACACGAATTGCTTCTCATTGCAATGTGAAGACTGTCCTGTGGACAAGGGTATAAGATGTCTCAATAACTTTTTATATTGTTTATGTGTTGGAAGAATAATGTGTTAGATATACTGGTTTAAGTTGTTTTCTCCTTTTTAATTTACTTTTTATAACTGGTTAAGTAGCAAATATAAAGTTACACTTGTGACTCGAATTCCGTTCCTGCTGGACATGCTGGCTAAGGTGCTGGGGAAACATCAGAGCCACAAACAGACAAGGCCCTGCCCACTCAGGGCTCACATCCAGTGGGAAAGGTGCAATACACGGGCCAACCACCAACAAGAAAGGCTCAGTCGTAAGCACTCCGAAGCCAATAAAATGGGATTGAGAGAGGCTAGAGTAGTGGAGGAAGGGCAGGGCTCACTTAGGGTGGTGAGGCAGGGCCTCGCTGGGCAATGAGGGGGAGATTGCCCTTGGAGGTCTGGGAGAAGAGTATTCTAGTCAGAAGGACCAGCAGGTGCAAAGGCCCTGAGATTGGACCTGCGCAATGACAAAGCCATGTTTAGGAGTGAGGGGACAGCCTTAGCGGACAATGGTGGGCAGGATGTTGGGGGCCAGGTCATGCAGGACCTGCAAATCCTGGTAAGGTCTTTGAATTTTAGCTTAAAGTCATGTGGAACTATGGAAGGGTTTGAGCAGGGGAGGGACAGGTTCAAGTGTGAACACTAGAAATACCCCTTTGGGATGATGTGGGGATGGGCTGGAGGGAGGGCGACCAGGGAGGATGGTACAAGCTGGGGAAGATGAGGCGGAGACATGGAATGAGGAGAGACAGGAAAGGTGGATTCAGGAGGAGAAGGGTCAGGACTTGGCGACTGAGCCGAGTGGGAGGGAGCAGGCAAGGATGACCCGGTTTTCAGGCCTGCAAGATGCAAAGGCCAGGCGGCCTTGGTGTCTGGGTTCACACCTAGACAGTCATCAGGGGTGCACTTCCAGAGGCAGCCACCAGAGGACGGGAGCGTGCTTCCTCCAGACCTCCAAGGAGTGAGCCAGAAACGCTCTTGTCCTGGGAGGTGACACCTGGGGTGCTGGAGTCCCAGAATCAGGCATCTGGGTTACTCTGAGGCCAGCGTCCCCATCCCAATTTGGGTGTAGCAGGGAGCGTTTTGTTTGTTGATTCAGATACCAGTGTTCCTGGGGGAGACCGCGTCTCCATACCCATAGAGGTGGGTGGTTGTGCTTCCAGTTCAGGCTGCTGGGCCTGGAGTGGTCATGGTCAAGTGATTTGTTGGTGACTGAGACTGGGGGCCCAGGGACCTGGAACTGAGATCACGGAGGCAAGCAGTCAGCAGCCTGGGGCTAGCGGGCAGTGGGGGCTTGAGACTGAGTCCAGAGGCCTAATCTGGGGGTGACTGACTACAGATCTCTAATTCTGATGTTGAGTTATTGAGATGCTGAGACCAGAAGATTCCATACAGGGTTGTCAAGATTCGGGGTCCATTTTCCCTTTCATCCCTGCCTGAATGACGCTGGGGTTGAGAGGTTTGTGTGGGGGTAACAGAAACTGGAGGCTTGGTGTCTTATCAAGGAGATAGAGACCAAAAGTCTGGTTGTCAATTTTGGTGACCAAGGCTGATTGGGAGTGACACATTAGGGATCTGGTTGTTGACTTCATGATTAAAGAGCCTGTGGGCCCAGTTTTGGGTTGACAGGGCAAAGGATCCAGTTGTCCAGTGTGGAGTGACAGAGCCAGGGAGTGCCTGCACCTCATTGGGTGTCAGACTGGGCATCTGGTTGTCTTGTTTGGGCTGAGAATCCAGTTTCTAGTTCGGGGTAATAGAAGTTGGGGATCTATTACCAACTTTGAGATGACAGTCGTGGTCATTTATCTAGCCAGGGGTGACAAAAAAAGGGATTCTTTTATTTTATATTGATTTTTAGAGAGATAGGAAGGGAGAAGGAGAGAGGGAGAAACATCAATGTGAGAGCAAAACATGGATCGGCTGCCTCCTGCACGCCCCCTACCAGGGATCAAGCGCACAGCGCTGGAGATGTGCCCTGACCAGTAGAACCAGCAGCTTTTTGGTGCATAGGATGACGCCCGACCAACTGAACCACACCAGCCAGGGTGAGAAGGGGATTCTTGAGGCCTGGGTGTCTAGGTGGCAAATTTGGAGTGATGACACTGGGAGTCCCAGGACCTAGTTTAGGATGACATGGTAGAGTGTCCCCTTGGCTAGAGGCAAACTGATTGGGGTCTGGTTGCTTCCTTGAGGCACTAACACTGTCTAGTTGGTGGTGACAGAGCCTGGGGGTCCTGTTGTATAATTTGGGACAATGGGGATGGGGGAATCTCTTTGCCTAGTGTGAAGTGACAGTGACCGGGAGGATCATGTTGTTTAGTCTGGGGAATACTTGCTTGTCTAGTTTGGTCTTTAAAACACAGTGGGTCTAGTTCTCAAAGTTTAAGTGACAGATTAGGGATTCTTTTCTGGTTGAGAGTGACAGGGACCAGAGTTGTTTAAGGTGTCAGAAATCAGGCTTCTTGTCAAGGTTGGGTTAATGGGGGCTGGGATTCTAAGATCTAGTTTGGGGTGACAGGCTGGGGGTCTGATTGTCTAGCTTTGGGTGACCAAGACTGATATTCCTGGAGCTTCTTTAGGAGTATCAGAATTGGGGCCTAGTCTCTTTTGGGGTGACAGAATGGTAGTCTAGTTGCTGGGTGAGGTACCCAAATTTTAAGGTTTGAGATGCCAGACTGAGCATTCAATTACTAGTTTGGAGTGACAGAAATTGGGGGTCTGGTGGGTTTGATGGGGTTGTCTAAGACTTGTCTCATTTTGGATGCCAGAGACTCAAGGCCAGATGTCTTGCTTGGGGTTATAGAGTCCAAGGGACTGGTTATCTAGGTTGGGGTGATGAATGACACTGGGGTCAGAGCTTTGGTTTGGGATGAGAGACAGTGGGTGGCCACTGGGCCAGGTTGAGGCTGGTTTGGGGCACCTGACTGTGGGGGTCCACATCCCTAGTTTTGGGGGGGTCACTGAGTCTAGGGACACAGAGGCTTGGTTTGGGAGGCTGTTTCCTGTGATTAGTAACAAACTGGGTTATAGAAGCAGAAATGTATTCTCTCCAAGTTCTGGAGGTCAGAAGTCCAAAATCAAGGTGACAGCAAGGCCATGCTCCCTCTGGAAGCTCCAGGGGGGCCCCTTTCTCACCTCTACTAGCTCCTAGTGTCTGCAGCACCCCTGCCTCTGTCTTTACATCGGCTTCTCTTCTGTCTCTAACAAGGACGCTCATCATTGGATTCAGGGCCTGCCCAGTTAATCCAGGGTTAGCTCATCTTGAGACCCTTCACTTAATTACATCTCCAAAGACCCTTTCCAGTAAAGTCCAGGGTTCAAATATGGACTTTTAGGGGTTACCATCAACACACTACAGGGGTGTTTGAGGCAGGCACTCTAAGTTCTGAGTTTGAGTCTGATTGTGGGGTTCTGAGAGTTTGGCTTAGCATGACCAACCTTGGGGGTCATCTCCTGATGCCTGATTTGGGGGCACTTCACTTGATTTGCCCACTTTGAGGGGGGTAACAGCCTATGAGGTCCTAATGGTTAGTATGTGGGTCACTGAAGCTTGGGGACCAGAGGTGGAGTTTGGGCAACATTAAACTTCAATGTCACTTAGGGGGGAGTTTGTGACTCATGAATGGGGGTGACTGAGGGGGAAGCTCAGATGTGTATTTTAAGGGCAGCTGATGCTGAGGTTCCAGATGCAAGGTTTGGGGGTGATTGTAGAGACTTAAATTACTAATGTCAGGGTCACTTGCTGGGGGGTCCTGATCTTAGTTTAGTGGACACTGAGTCTGGAGAGCCAGATATCTAGAGAGTTTGGGGAAGTCTTAAGCTGGTGGGGCCCAGATCCCAAGTTTAGATTAAGTCTGGGGATCAAGATTGGGGTTGCCTAGTTTAGGGGTGACTTTCAGTTCCACTTCCTAGTTTGTACTGAGAATGGAGGTCACATGCTGAATGGGGTTACAGCTGCCAGGGCTCATTTGACTAGGTAATAGGTGATTCATCTTGGGGTCCTGATGTTTGTTTAAAAAGGGTTCA